CAACAAAGTGATTCATTTCTCCAAAATAAAGTTAAAAATTTATAAATATTACTTAAAAAACAATCAATATCTTAATTAACAACTACTTATTATAAATATTAAATAATTTGTGATATGAATGCAGAGTATTACTATGATTCTAAAATGCTAAAATTCGCCACATGCATATGATGTTCCCTCTTTTTCATTTAATTGTTTACAAGTAGTTTTAAATTGCATTCTTTTAGCCTGTCGTACTTCTTTTGTACGGAGATTAAAATGTCGTTCTGCAGTCTGAATTCTTTTTATATCTACAAATGTAACAAATTTTTGTGCAAATTGACCAACAGTCAGACCAAGCGATTGCTTAATTTTTAGTCTGCCTTGATTGCCATCATTAAAAATGACAATTGCCTCATTTGTAGATATATCAACAATCTTTCTACCACAATCTTTAGTTTTTGGGCATAATTTCCATATTAAAGAGTTAATGGATTCATTATTATTTTGGGTTTTACCCCCTAGACATTTTTGTAGGAGTTTAGGTTGTGATAGATCATTAAACACAGGTTTTATGGCATCCATTACTGCCACTGGCAATTTGTTACTGTGTCTAAAAGTTTTCACACTGCCCTCTAATACTTGATTTTGATATTTACACCAAGAATTAGGACCTACAGGACAAAAACTGTGCAATGGTTCTTCGTCGCTTGAATGTATATGGAAATATACAGCGCAAACAGCTTTTTGCATATCTGACAGGCATGTTTTATTTTGTCGGATTGCATTTCCATAGTACGTTGTAATTAAGTCGATCATTCTGTCGGTCAACCTTCCCTTTCCCCCAATCGACTTCCCATCACTGAGTTTGGAGCTCATTTGTTTTAATTTTCGTAAACGAGTTCCCATTCTTTTTTGAACATGTCCAACACATTCAATTTTTGAAACTGTGATATCTTCTCCATACGGATTGGATGCAGTAATAGATGAGAATGTTTTGGAATCGCCATCCCCGATGTAAGATGTATATCTCACAGAACGATGACTTAATGAACGCTGAAATATACGAACCATTCCCACAGTCTCCATCATGCCAGCTGAACCATTGTGCTTTTTCAAACATTCTTTAACGTGAAGAATTTTCCACTTTTTGTAAGCAGGTGACCCTTTTCTTCGTTTCCAAGAATCACATCCTTTACAGAAAGAAGACATCACTTCCGCATCAATACACTTTCCTGTTTTGTCTCCTATAACAGCACATACACCAACACGAGAAGAATAGCCACGGGTTTTCCACGTTCCATCTCCACTAATTATTATATCGGAAGAATTTGTCAAAGTTACCTCTCCCAAAGCTACACTTTGCATTGAAGCTTCTGCAACTTCTTTACTACACAGTTGTAGTTTGTTTATAATGTTATTATAGGATTTTTCAGCAACTGGTGGAGGAAAGTCTATGGCACCTCAGAAAGTTGTCATTGCTGCATGACCCTGTCCAATTGTCCTCATTGCGTATACAAAACGTCTGTTTATTTCTGGGATATTTTTCCTTTTATCCAGCATTTTTGAATTTCTAAGCGAACACAAGTCTTTACAGTTCTTGCATTCAATCGAAAAAACACTAGAAAAACCTCTAACACATTTTTCTGATAGTTTAATATCACCACCACATTTTTTGCAAGAAGCAAAGGGTGAAATTGTCGAATCGGGCGCCTCTCCGCCAAATTTTGAAAAATCGCCAATTTGGTGCGTTTTTGCGTGTTGTGTTTCGGAGTTGCAATCCTACCACAACACGCAACGCCGGAGCGCGAAATTCAAGATGGCGGAAGGAAAATCATTAAAAAATAGCATTTTAAAGTTTTGAAACCGAAATTCGCTGCAAAAATCAGGCATTTAAAAATGGAAATAATTTCACTTACTTTTAAAAAATGCTGCTTTTTCCCACATTTATGATGACGATGTGTTGCCTACTGAAATTATACCAATGTGCTACTGTATATTTCTGAGAGAACCTTCCAAAACATTTTTATTTTTGCATCACTAACAAAATGGTGCACAAATCCATATTACTCAATTCAAACCAAAACCATTTCTTTACACTCCTAAACACATGATGGGTATCCTCTTTCACACTGGACTGAATTTTGCAGTACCATTCAAAAACCATCATTCACTTTCTTACCCGTTCTTTCTCTCAATTCCATACTTTTTCTACATTTCGGACATACATACGATGATCCAATCAAACCTTCTTTCACACACACACATGCACCATTCTAAAACAGCTTTCTTTCCAAGCACAAGCAACATGGCAAAAAAACCTTTAACAAGAGTAATCGTAATTTTTCATGCATTCATTCAAATTAATCCTATGAGCATCGCTGGACATCATGGCAATCTTTTGAAATTTATGTGGAGAAAGAAATAAAAATATTACCTGTAAAAAGTAATTCCCAAAACGAAGAAAACGAAGCCGAACAACTGACCCAACCGGAGAAAAAGAAATAACCGTTTCCTCATTAACGGAATTTTTAAAGTAATAAAAGCTTTCTGCTCCTGCGCGAGAAAGACCGTTGAAGAATTAAACTGTTAAAATAAAAAAAACGAATTATATGAATGCGCTAACTTGCCGCGATATCGTTAAAACTGTTAAAATGAAAGAAATCTCTCTCTCTCTCTACTGCGCATGCTCAAAATTTCGCCAAAAAATCGACTCTCCTTCATTGGAAAACAAATTCAGAAGAGTTACCAGATTTGGTGCATTTATCTATTTGGCGAGAAAACACTTGGCGCGAGAGGCGCCCGATTCGACAAATCAACCAAGTTTTGAATGTTTGTAAATATGATAGTTTTATCAAACACTCTATAGCCATCAAAACCGTCATCATGTTCAGTAAAAGATGAATCAACGTCTTGCAACTAAATCTTTTTTCCAGATGCACTGTTGTTTAGTGATTCATCCACACTGTGTACAGCTTTGCATCTCGTATGCATATATATATATATATATATACATATATATATATATATATATATATATATATATATATATATATATATATATATATATATATATATTACCAGTAAACTTCCTTTTCTTACGACGCGTTTACCAGATAATCTTTTGGCAGATTCAGTCGAATTCATCATTCAAAAGTTTATAAAAAAAATAATATTTTTCCTAAAACTTATCTTAGAATAAGATACGGTATGAAAATCAAAAACGAGCGAGTATAAATTCAAGATTCACTTTATCAAAACAAAGTAGAAGTAGAAGTTTATAAAGTTAGTAGAAGTTGTAGTTAATATTCAGAACAACAATAATAATATTTGAGGCTTAGATTCAAGCATTTGATAATAATTAGAATGAAAATATTAGAAACAGAGAAATGCAGCTGTCACCAGCGACATGACAGCTGTCACCCTGGAGCCAAAATGGAAACAATATTTAAATCACCTTTTCTACACTTTTTATTTTATTAATAACATCCGTTCTATTGGGAATATCTGCATGCGGTTTCTTTTAAAACACTCAGAAAGGTTTACTCTATAAAATAAAATAATAATAAAAAAATCGATTTTCCGGAAATTTTAAAAGGTATATGACCTCTTAATATTAATTTTATTAATTAATACTAATTAATTATTCAATAAGTTTTTTACTGTGTTTTGTTCCCGAAAATCGACAAAATCAAAAGGAGCATGATACAAGAATGGTGAACTTTCGATCCCGGACCCCCCCTCCTGAAAACTTTTTGTGTGCGCTACTGGGCACAGCAGGTCTTGGCCCTTATGGACTCTTGCTCCACTGAGTTAAGGAATAATATTTGATTACAAAATGTAAACGATCAAATTAGAAAAAGCAGTTGAAAGTACAGAATTTAATGTACAAAGAACAGATCTTAAGGAATAAATATTTTATCCCCTTTAGTATGAGCAAAAAAATGATTATAATGCAAACAATAGCATTATTATATAATAAATTATCACCTTTATATAGAGATATTTTAAAATCGTTTATAGAATTGCAAATCGATGAAAATCTCAATAACTGGAGAGAGATAGTGGCAATTAATGACGCTCTGTTCAGCTACACGAGGACTTTTGGCGACGGACCTCGTAATTTTGAACCATGATCAAATGACGAGGAAGACACCTGAGCTGGCAACCCAGTCTTAACTTCCACACCACACTAATGAGAAGACGTTTGAGCCTCAATAGGTTTAACGTGTATCAATACTTCTACATGAATGCTAATAACTAGATGATAAATATCGAATATTCTTTTATTTTTGGAATCTATTTCCAACTATAATCCCATTTAGTTTCTATACTGGTTGAGAAAACTCTCTACCAAATTTTCAATAAATATAAATCCACCTTTAGAATTAGATTCAGTAATTAATTTTTAAACTTTTTCATAATTACACGATAAATCTTTTTTTTTTTTAATATTTTCTGACACAAATACAAAATTATTCATTAATTAAGAAAAAAAGTTTTTCAAAAATGTAAGTCTGAGTATTTTGTTCTATACATTTCTTTATAACTAGCCTATCCATTTAAATTCTAAAAAAATTGGTGTAATTGGGTAAAAAAAAATTCTGATATAAAATCTGAATCCCCACGTAACAACTCAACATTAGAATCATGTGTTAAATTGAAAATCGCAAACTATACCCCTGATATTGCGTTATTAAGTATAGCTTTACAAGGGCAAAATTCTCATTAAAATCTTAATTTTTTATTTAACTATATTGAAGGAATGCTTATATTTTATGTTGTTTATTTCTTATTTAATTCCTACTGCTAGTTCACTCTTTTTCAATCGTTAATAAAATACTTTCTATTCATCCATTGAAGTTCAAATACATATTTTTTAACTAGCAGTGGATGACGATGTTAATACCATTGTTTGTTTGTTTTTCAAATATTAATTCATTAATTAAATTTAAAAAATGAATAAAAAGTAACAAAAATAAGAGTCCAACAGCATATATAGAAAGAAAAATTTTCGTTGTGTCCCTGTTGAGCAATGAATAGCGCGTTGGACTCTTAATCCAAAAGACGTGGGATCGAATCCCTCCTGGGATGGCCTAATTTCTGAGAATGTGATTTATTTTTTACAATACTATTTTATAGGAATAATTAAATTCAATAAATGAATGAATAGTAGCAAACAAAAAAAATAGTCTTACACCATATATATAAAAAGGAAAATGAAAAATTGCAAGGAAAATCGCTTTCTAGTTTGTCACTTAATATTGTAAGTCTGTCATATGTATATACATATTTATATTAATTGTATATATTTAATAAAAAGTAACTAAAATAAAATTTTTTCTTTGTTGACCTAAGAAGGAATTAAATATCCTAAATATCATCCAAAGTATAATTTTCGAACACATATCCTCGCTGAAAAACATTTTTCTTTTAATTAATCTGTCAGAAATGTGCATTTTTTATTGATGAGTTAGTACACTAAATAATAAGTTATTATGAAATAATGCTGCTCTCTCTGTTGTTACTAATGTCACCTATCTGACGATGTCAGAGTGAGGCCCAAGAAATTCATCGCTGCAAAGGGCTACAAGTACGCCTGTCGTCAGCCGTAGCTTTGAGCACCATTCAGGTAACAGTACGTTTTTGCTCGGTTCCACCCCAATTTTAAGGGAGAACATCTTAGGGGTGATCAGGGTCCTCCCAGCTCTTGGCAGCTCTCTCTTAAAATAATTAATTACATGTGGGAAATAAGCAATTCATATTAGAAATATTTATGATATTGATCCCGTTTCTACATCACCATGAGGTAGGAATCTCGATGCGTTTGTTTTTATAGAGGTATCGCCAGGAGCCATATCCTCTTCATCGCAATCTTTTACTTTATAGAACAATCTGGACAAAGCTAATTTTTAATTTTTGACCCATTCTTAAAATTGATGCATTTCCAATGTTACCAGTAACTGCAATCATCACACTGAACCATATTTTTAAGAGAGTCGTTGCACTTTCACAATGATTGCAACGCCAAAAGTTTTGTTTTAATGTAATTATTTTTTCTATTTCTTCCCAAGCTTGTGTAGTATATATAAATAATTCTTGTATACATATGTCAAATCATGATTTATAATAGAATCCGTAATTTCATTATCAGGTTTTAAATCCTTTTCACTAAAAAGAAAAGTTTTAAATTTTCACTCCAATAAATGTTTTTTTTTGTTTTCAAATTTGATATAAAGGTACATATTTTTATGCGTGGCCCGCAAGGTCATTTGGGTTGGACACCCCTGGACTAAGGGTTTAACCAAAGCGCTCTTATGCGTTTAATGAACTTGGAAGTCCGAAGTTCTGGAACGAGCCTCTCAAATAAACAATCATAAACCATGTCATTATTCCCCTCCACCACAAAACAGAACAAAAATAAAAGTTCCTTCTGCCCCGGGCATCGTAAGAGAAATCCGATGTCAGAACACCCCGGATCAAAATCCTTTTCCATCACTGTGAATCGCATAGAAGCCGCAAATGTTTATACTGCAACAAAGGACATGAACTCGAGGCCTGCCATTTCTTACGCGCTAACGAAAAGAGAAATTTTAAGAAAAAAGGGGATGTTATTTGAGCCTCATGCCCGGTCATAAAGCACAATGGAATGTGCGAAAAGAAAGTCATGTCCTATTTGTAATGGCTCCCACCATTTCACAATATGTTTTCGAAATCGGCATGGTGACGATTTCTCTCTAAAAAAGTGACACAAACAATATAGTTTCAGCAGTATTTAAAACAGAAGTAAATAGTGTATTATTACAAACATGTGCTGAGTTAATAGATGACAAAAATGAACAAGAAGTTGTTAGATTATTCTTATTTTTAGATAATGGTGTGTTCATAAAGAAGTTTCGTTTTAAAGAGTACTTCTGAGAAATTTAACTTTCCAATTCTTAGAAAAGAAAACATTTCCATTTGCACATTTGGTGCTAAAAAAACTGAAATAAAAACCTTAAATATAGTTAAAATAAAATTGAAAATCAGGGATGATCCAAATTTGTACATTGCAATAGAAGCGGTCGAGACAGAACATATTTCGATTGCACATTTACCAACCCCTGATAAAAAATTTAGATATTTAAAAAATGTATAATTAGCTGATTCTTATGAATTTAACGATAAAGAAATATCAATTCTTATTGGCGTGGACTATTATTATCAAATAGTTATAGGTAGAATTACACGTCTAAACAAAAATCTTGTAGCAATAGATACATTATTTGGGTCATATCGGGAGAAACTTTTAACAATGAGTGTTATTGTTAATGAATCCAATATTTAGAAACAGCTTAGCAAATTTTGGAATTTAGAGAATTTAGGAATAGAAGCAGAGCTGACATTCTGAAGCACTATTTGTTTATCACATATCTTAGTAAAATATTTATTTACTTTTAAAGTTATAGTGAGAAATTTTTGTATTTAACAATACTTGTCCGCACTCTAAAATTTTGTCACTCTGCCTAAATGCGACCCTGTGTGTGTATGTCTACATAATGGATATAAATATTCTCTCTTAAAAATTATAGATGGAAAATTTATATGGACTAGCAATTTTTTGTGTGTGTGTGTTAGGGAATATAAATTTTTTTAGTATGTAATTTTATGTCCAAATTTGTATTAAAATTATAAAAGTGCAGAAATTTTTTTAAAAAATAATTAAAAACTTTTAAAATTATTTTTCCTTAATTGATTTCGTTAAAATATAAAAGTTTTATGGCCAAAAAATTATAGATTTTTTTTTCTGAATGTATCTTTTGGATTAGTTAGTTCGAATAGGAAAAACTGGTTTCACTGTGAAACCGTAAATTTTTCAAAATTGAATAATGCTAAATTGTTTTCTTTGTATATTTATGTTCATCATCATGTCTAATGGTGATATTTAAAATTATTTTGTAAAATTTTCAAAGGAAATATGTAGTGAACTTTAACCGCTTCCCTGGTTATCCCGAGTTATCTCGGGTTAGTATATATTACAGCTAATTATTATCCTGAGCAGAATTTGTCAGTACGATTTGTTTTATCTCGGTTTTACTCGGCCTAAAGGAAATGAAAGGAAACGTTCAGCTTTGGTTGGCAGTTTGGACAATTTTTATCCCGCCCGGTTTGGCTGATACGTTGGTTTAAAGGAAGATTGAAGAGAGTGGAACTTTTCGATTGAATAGAAAAGATTTATCTCGAGATCTAAAGACAAAGAATTTTTTTAAAAAAGGAGAAATTATTGGGTATTAGAGAAGGAAAGTAAAACTGTAATGACATGGAAAGATAAGAAGGATGTTAGTCTAATTTCCACAACACATACAATCGAAATGCAGGATGTAACAAATGAACGGGGAGAGTCAAAGTCCAGGCTTAAATGTGTAGTTGACTACAATGACCAAACGGGTGGTGTAGATAAAGCTGACCAGCATTTAGCTCCTTATTTTACATCCAGAAGTGGCCGCGGTAGCCGAGTGGTATAGGTATCGGACCGTGGCTTGCTTTGTCACGGGATCGAGCCCAGTACCACTAAAGACCCGCCGTGTAGGGCAGCGATGCACGTTAAATCTGTCGAGAGCTGAAACGTCCTCCCGTTGGTGTGGTGTGGTAGTTAGGAGAGGGGGGTGCCAGCTCAGGTGTCGTCCACGTCACTTGACCATGGTTCAAAATTACGTGGTCCGTCGCCAAAAGCCCTCGTGTAGCTGAACAGTGCGACGTTAATATTCAATCAATCAATCAATCAATTTACATCCAGAAAAGAGAGGAAAATACTAAGATTTTCTTCCATTTATTGGATTTGGCGTTGTGAAATTCCTTCATTTTGTACTGTAAATCAGGAGGTTCATGATCACCTAAACAATTTAGAATGAAATTGACTGAAAAACTAATCTTAAAAAAATCATCGTGACGAGTTTTCTGCCACATCAGGAAGACCCAACATTAGTCCTTCACTACTCAGGTTAACCTCAATGCATTTTCTAGATGTTATTCCTGCATCTGAAAAAAAATCAAATCCAACGAGACAGTGTTCCCGTGACTGTGCTCCCGTAATAGAGATTCCAGAAATACGCTAGTAAGAAACGAGACCAGATACCAGTTTATAGAACGTCAGGTATCACTTTCTGTTGTCCCTTGTTTCAAAATCAATTACATACATATTAAGACTAATATTAAACTTTTTTCCCACATGCCAGAGATAACTTGGGATATAAACTAATATTAAAACGAAATGCTTTTACGCCTGTAAAAAATTAAAAACTCAACTTAAAACCTACATATTTTGTTTTGTTTCGTTTTATTGTATTTAATAATAAAATTTAAAAAATGTGATGATTTTTTGCAATTTTTTTTCAAAAAAATGTGTAAGGGAAGCGGTTAAAGGGAAGGAAGGATTTATGGAATGAGACAGGGGAAAAGTTTCTACTGTTTATCAAAAAATATATATACAGTCGAACCTCCATATAACGAACCTCTATATTGCAAGTTTTTCTACATGGTGTTTTCCTGGAACCAAGCGCATTTCACGATTTTCTTCATAAAATAACCTCCCTATAGCGAAATGCATTTTCAATACAGCAAACTTTTTTCTTGTGACTGGATTTTTTTCTCCTTATTTTTAAAGTAGTTCCTGACATTTTAAGTTATTCTCTCTTAACATATTTTATGGTTCTCATAAATCTTGAACTGCTTTTTTTGTGTTTAGCTCGCCGAGAGCAATAGAATTCTGGGAGTTTCATCCATAAAGTACTACTTTTCACTAGAAACATCTTCGATATTACATTTCACACTCAGTTGAATTATATCGTGTCCCCGTGTCCTTGAACTAATTTCTGTTAATTTGTAGCGTTGATCAGTCGTACTGGTAACTTCGTTTCTGATAGCTCGTAAGTGCTTGAGCATGAAAATATTTAAAAAAATTTCAGGAAGTAGATAAAGGCGTCAAAAAGAGGACAGGTCTTTAAAATTTGGTATTCCTCCAAACAGCTTATCAACTATTATAAGAAGTCGAGATAGCTTCAAAATTATGATTCATGGAATTCTTGTTCAAAACGTAGAAGAACACGTGTCTATGA